TATACTAAGACAATCTTTCAAATTACCTTTTTAACAGGCTGTATCGTAAATTACACAGGCAAATACTCTTAACATAAATAATAATATTCAATTATTCGAAATCTAAATGGTTTCCTTTCCGAATAACATTTTTTATGTATATTTTTAAAAATTAAATACTAAAAGATATTAAAAATCTCTATTGATCTTAATAAGTTTATATTTTTTTTACATGTGAGCCTCAACTATTGTTTATTTATAAATTGAATCCACAGTAAGTAATCAATATAATAAAGACTTAAAAATGCTCGACACATATATATTTAAGTGGATGTGGGAGGCCTATGTCTAGCAGTGGAACTCACATGGCTAAAGATGATGATGATATATATTTAAGAGGAAAAAATGTATAGTGGAATGCTCCCGTTTTAATTAAGATTAATTAATTTTATATAAGAAATTGATTATATATTCTTTTGAAATATTAAAGCAGTAAAACTATAAATTAAATAACCACCAAAGCAATTTTGTAAAGTAAATTGAAAAAACTAAAAGAAATTATAAATTCACGAGGAAGGAACGCAGTATTCCATCAAAGATTTTCTATTTTCCAAGATATGTACTCCGTTAATTAATTATTAAACCCTTCACTCATGTGGTATCAAAAGAAATAAATCTATACCATATAATGCAAAACATGTTTGAAGTAATTTTTTTTCCTTTTAATATACCAAAATCCCATATATTAATGAACATCATAAACTTAATAAAACTTTTTTTAAACTACTTCAACTCCTTGATCTATAAACAAATCCAAGGTATGAAAAGAATCAACTCTAAAAAAATTTTAACAATTTTATTATATAACAAATAAAGTACAGCATTTTTTGTTTCAATATTAATAATCTATTATGTATCATATTAAAAAAACATATTTCCAAACTCATCTTTAGTTTTTTAAACTATTCCCGCCGTGAGTGTCTGAATCACTTAAATATTTTCAGTTACTCCAAATGTTAAGATGTTTTTAGTAAATCACCCATACTCAATTATTATTTAAATTATAGAAGCCTCACAGATAGTAACAATTTTATTTCACGTAATTCGTAGTTTAAAGACGAACTTCTGAAATCATGTTCCTGTTAACAATAATTTTATGAAGAACACTTGATAGAAGTAATGAATCAAATTTATTATAAAAAAACTACTACTATTATATGCATTTCAATATATGGACTAGTGATGAAGCAATCATGAAAGCTTTATATAAAAATCAAATAGTCGCTATATTCTTATAAAATACTTTAAACACTATATGCCAAGATAAAACCTTTCAAATACACTCATAAGTTGGATATAGGCGAACGCTTAGTTACCTTTGAATCCTTTCTTGTTAGTTTCTTTTTCATCAAAATATAAAAGAAATAATGAAATACCACAAAGTTTTATTTCTTCAATAATTTTTGAATTGTTCTTCTACATTATTCTGAATATTTAATTCAAATGAAATGAATATTTGATATAATAATAGTTATCAGCAATTAGTTGAGAAAATTACATATCTGCACAAAAAAATTATGAAGCCTCAATACAAGACATCAATATAAAATGTTATAATGGAATTTTGATACCTACAATATTAAAAATTTTATCCACTTTTATCATATTACAACGAAACTATGGAACATTTTCTTTTTTTTCACAAAATAATTCTTTTTTATCAATATAATTTTTTTTCATAATTTCAACAACAAAACTTAATAAAAACAATAAAATTTTCAAGTTACTTTCAATTCAATGACAACTCAAACTCGTACAAATAGTTTTACATTCCGAGCATGCTTGTCAAGGTTGTTACATCATAGGAGGCGAAAGATAAAGTATAAAAAGGCTCGGTGTTCAACAATCGACATCAAACCATACTCCACCGTTCATCTTTAATAACACAAACAAAAACCAACTCTACAAAATGTTCAAATTGGTAAGTTATATAAAATTAAATAAAAACATATAATACATGTATTGTATTAATTATAGGTTATAGTTTATTTTTTTAATATTGTAACAAATTTATAAATTATGCTCTTTAAATTTCCAGTTCATCTTCGCGTGCTTCCTGGCCCTAGCTGCCGCCAAGCCTGGAGTAGTCCCCGTAGCGTACACCGCAGCAGCCTATTCAGCTCCATTGGTAGCAGCATCTTACCCAGCCCCTCTAGCATACTCAGCATACAGTGCACCCTTGGCATACTCCGCCTACTCTGCATACCCATACGCCGCCCCCTACTCTGCATACTACCTCAGACGTTAATGTGAAATTTTAAACCTGAACCTGTTTAAAAAAGCCGTTATAATAAACAGTACTATAATTATTTTTCTACTTATTATAAAGTTATTCTAATCACTCTAAGGTTTTTTAACTTTGGTAGTGTCGTTGTCAGGTCTATTACATGTTGAAAAAGGAAGGGAAGCAGTGCTCGGTAAGAGGCTCAAAGGAGATAATCTTTAGCTGATTAGTTTATAGGGAACCTGAATGTATGATAAATCTTTTGGAAGGTCCTTTACCCGTTTACGCAAAGAGACCTGAATTCCTTTAGTCTCAAAACGAAAACCTCGTAATTGGATAAAACGTTCAACAGTGAGCATATTTACTGATGATATTAAGTTGAAGAAGAAGATCAGAAGTTTTTCATATGAAATATTACATAGAATATTTTAATGGATTACCCGCCCCGCATCTTCGTTGTGTTTCAAGCCAAGATGCTGTTTATTTACTATTGCTCCATAGATCGAGCTGATTTCAAAGGTTTATATGACTCCAAAGAAGACCTAAAGACAAGTGAGGTCAATACAGAGCAAAACATAAGGAAATCCTCAGGCACTATAAAATTCTGAAAAAAAAATGTGATCTTATGAAAGAACAACAATAATCTGAAGTTTTATTAGGATTAATACAGATAAGTCAAATAAACATAGAACGCACATAACAATAATTCTTTTTTTGCTTCAGTAGAAAGTACTTTTTTATATATTAATCTGATTCCGACCGATTATTTACTTTAAAATAAAATGCAATCAAAATTTTACAGTCAGTCAAGTAGATCAGATAAAGTTTATTAAAATTTATTACAAAGCTATAAAAAAATGATACTAAATAGATATTATATTTGATATAAGAGTTAAAACATTTTTTTTTTTTGGTTTTGCGATTAAAATTTTCTATTACTTTATCTAATGCAGTTCAATATTGAATCTTAGCCTACTTGCAATGAATCAATTATAAACACACTCTCGGCAATAAAAAGCCAAACATTTGGTAACTAAGAGTAGATATTTAAAAAGAAAATTACTCTATTTTTTATTGAAACTGTGAGTACATATTACGACTTCTTTAAATGTTACTCCTGAAAAGTAAACTTATAATTATTTTTGTTGCTTATCACAGTCTTGATGCAGTTTAACTTCAATCATGGCAAAATGTACAAAATTAAACAGAATAATTATGAAAAGAAACAGAAGTCATGCAACACCCACTACGTATGTTCAATTAAAACAATTTAGGATAACTATGTAACAGAATCAATATAGTATGCACGTCATTTAACAAACACTATTATGAACGACTTATAAATGGATGAGACTATTTTAAGTTCCCATTGCTTATATAAATTTAATTACAATACCAAATTACAGTTACTTGTTTATGAGTTTGTATAGAATTCCTAAAATGTTTGTAAAACCTGATATGTATGTCGTGATTCCAGAAACAAAATAAAACGATAAAGTTTTAATATAAATATTTTTAAAAGTTTTTATATATATGTATATGAAAAGGTGCAGGTAAGCCTCTTATGTGACTTTTCTTACTGTTTAAGTATCGTGTGAAAATGATGTTATTAAAAACATTTCAATAGAAACATAGAAGAAAAGGTTTTTTGTACCATTAAAAGGTGTTTTCAACGTCATAATAATTAATAAACTCAGAGACGCATAATGTAAAATATACTGTTTAATTATGAATCATATCTAAATATACATATTAAATTATTTTATATATTAGTTCTTAATAATAACAATTAAAATAAAAAGCCTTATATGACACAAAAACACGAATTTTATATAAAATAGAATCGAAAGATTAGATTTGAGATATAGAGTTGACCTTGAGAAAGAACATAGGATAGTTTTTATCCCAGACTTTTGAAAGGTTTTCTTGGAAAAGCGATATAACCGAACTCCGAATCTGCGGGCGGAAAGCTAGTACTTGATAACTTCTAGTAGACTAATAATTTTCAAAAACTATTTCAGACTGAATATGTCATACCAACCGTTACTATCAAAATTATGAGAAAAATTCTAGACTCAAACAAATAAAAATAATATTGCTATCACTTAGATATTTATGGAATACAATACAAACATAATGGGTCTATGACTTAATATAAAAAAAATATTATTATAATTAAATTGAATAATTTTCAATCCTTTGCAAATATACATAGAAGCTATTGAATATTATAAAATATCAGGTGAAAGATAGAAAATCATTTGTACTAACGAAGTGGACCTGAAATATCTTTTGTATATTGTAAGATATTATTAAAGCAGGCTTAGCTGTGAAATTTGTATTCTTCATATTTAGAAAATAGGGCATTCGTGGGCAGCTAAATAGGGTATTCAATAACATTTTTATAATTAAAAGTGATTTATTTTGATATAAATATATTTTCATACAGTACTTTGTGGGATGTTACAAAATTACGCGTTAATCCGTAATTACCTTGTATCTAAATTTCATGTCGGTTTAATATAGAACATAAATTCATTATAATTATTATCTATCCTAAATGAGGACGTAGTAATTATTATTTCTTTCCTTCCCCTTTACCAAGGCTAATATTCGTTCAATGTATGTGTTGACACCGGCGAGTGTCATTCCAGCCTTCATTACTTTAGTATAAAATTGACAGCGAACTCCTTTCAACATCATTCAACCCAGTTGAAACAACCACTTCGATTTCAAGATGTTCAAACTTGTAAGTATAATTAATAGTCACGATGTAAATAATTTTTTTTAATATAATAAGATCTAAGACTTTCACGAGCATTTATTTAAATGAATCTAATATTTTTCGGACTATCTACGCGTATGTTATAATTTTAAAAAACTACATACTCCCGACGTTTCATTTACTTTTTAACAACCGTGACCACGGGCAGATAGTTTTTTAAAATAATACAATAGGTTTTGTATAATTTGAAAAACATTAGTTTCATTTAGATTATTTAATTGTAAAATTGTGAAAATATGTAGTTGCTATTCATTATTAAAATTATGGTTTATCTATGTACCTACTTTTTACAGTTCATTTTCGCCACTTTCTTGGCCCTTGCTGCCGCCAAGCCCCTTCTATCCGTGGCGTACACTGAACCAATTGCAGCAGCATATGTGGATAGTGTATCAGCATCATACGTAGCACCTGTGGCGTACTCTGCTTACACCGCACCGGTCGCTGCCTACTCCGCCTACACATATGCTTCACCATACGGTGCTTACTACCTTCGTTGATGAAAACTATTAAAAACGATGATGACCAAGCCAATGTACTGTAATGAATAAATTATAATGAGCATAATATGAGTTATTTTATTTGTTAAAAAATAATTTATTTATTATTTATATCGCTATTTCTATAGAATTGGGTGAAAGATCTCGTCTTAAAAATAAATGTTCCCTTTTATTTAATTTCATTTTTACGTCCTGAATAAACTGCACAATACTTAAACATATAACTAAGTATAATTAAAATATTGTATAATTGTTTTTATGAACTGAATTAAAGAATATGATCAATAAGAAAAAACTACTGAACAGTTAATTTTTGAGAATTGTTAACCAGGATTCTTGGTCAAATCAGGATGAAATCTGTGTCTCAGTTAGCTTACAATTTTACATTTGACAAAAGTAGTTTATGGATGTGATATATACAAAAGATTTTAACACAATTCTCTCCCTTAAAGTGAAAAAAGTGATAATAATTTTCACGGACTTTAGTAATCTTGCTCATTTAGACTTGTTTTTTTGTTTGCGTCATGATGGGTCAAGTTTTTGATTGTGTCGAGTATTTGATCACTAAAGTTGAAATAATCATTTAACTTAAAATATACATCTTATATTTTTTCAAGTTTCATTTTGTTTGATTAAGCTTTCTTAACCGGCCGGGCCTGATGATCGGGGTGGATATATGAGGCTCTCAGCAAGCAAGTTAGCTCTTAATACCTGCTGATTTATCCACAAAAACTATTAACAGTTACAATCATCGCCATAGTGGGATATCATGCAATCGTTCACATTCACCACGATGACGCATAGGAATTACACCCAACAGACAAACCCGTCCTACGCTATCTATTTATACATATATTATTATTAGGAATATCTTATTTGTGATGGTATTTAAAGGTTCATCATTGTGTTATCACATATATTTTTTAGGCTAAATATTCTATCCAAAATAGCATAAAAAAGTTTATAACACACATCATTTATTAAAAGAAATTATTAACTCATTAAGAATTATATTATCATTAAGTTTTTGTTAATAAATAAGACTCAAAAAGTTTGAAATCATATAGTTTGTTGAGTTGTTTATGTTTTGAACCAACTAGTATAACTTTTAATCGTTGTGTTTAACACAAGTGAAAGATGATACCTTATCGATCTTTACCTTATTTACACTAATACCGATGATCAACAATTTCGTAACAAACACCTATTTATAATATTGTTTATTTGTAAAATTAAAAATAGTACTTCATAGTGACAAAATAAAATGATTTGATCATTTTCTTCATGACATTTTGTTCGTAAAAATTGATAGATTGAAAAAACTTATAAATAAATCATATGTAATTGGTAAGAATTGTATTTTAATAATTTAAATTGCAACGAAAAAATTGTATTCTTATAGAATTTACAAAACCTTTGTTTTAAGGAGAAAAATCATCAAATGACCTGTCTTGTCCTGGGTGGGGCAAGAGGGAGTGTCAGACTCCTGCTGACTAAAAACCCCCCGTACCTACTCTTGCTCCGAGGCTGACCACGGTACATCAATCGCTTACACCCGCGATCAGAATTTATAATGCTTAAAATATCTCTTCTTGTATCTTCATATTTTTGACATTTCATCTCAATAAATCTTTGAAGAATTTTGGAAGAATGTTCAAAAAACGGGCTTACAGATCTTATATTATAACCTTGAAATGATTATTGGATTTACAAATATGTTATTATTTTAATTCCACTTTCTTAATTCTGCTAATACTGTAAAATTTTATCCATATCTTCTATATATATAAAAATGGATTGCTGTTCCTTAGTCTCGCTAAAACTCGGGAACAGCTGAACGGATTTATCTTATCTTAGTCTTGAAATGTTTGTGAAGGTTCAGGGAAGGTATAAAAGGTGAGAAAAATTGATTCATTTCCGGGAAAACCCTAAAAACTGCCCTTTTCTATTTCCCATACAAATGGTTTCTTTGACATTAGATTTGACAACTAACTAATATGTCAATCATTCTGTTCGATTGAAACAGGAAAAACCTGATTATTTATGGCCTCTAGGACGGAATAGAGTTCGCCCGGTCAGCTATACATATATTACTAAAGATGAAATTAACGCGGACGAAGTCGCGGGCAAAAACTAGTTGAAGAATAAGAAATGATACAATTGCAAAACAAGAAAAATCTAAAGCATTCCTAGACTTTTTTCCATAAAATTTTTATTTGAATTAAATCATTCATGGCTCGAATTATATGTAAATATATTTTTTTAAAGATTTATAAAAAAAAGCGATAACGTCCCTCAAACTATTATTATTTAAAAATATTCTTTTTGAAATCAACATCTATGCCTTTAAATATAAATTTTCTTGTGCATCCCATTTAAAGTGTATTCACTTAAGAAATATCTTTAAGATATTTCTTAAAGATGCATTTGATTTGTTACATATCTGTAATCAAATTCATTTAAGAATCGTAATTAATCAATCCAAATAATTTTCAAATAGTTTCTTTCAAAAGATTATTTTTGTTTTCCAATATTCAAGTTATTTGCGTTCTTTTATTTTTCTCTTATATGTTCCTAAATATGAGTTTTAAAAACTGTATCTTCAACTTAAAAATACGTTTTTCACACTGATTGTGGCTAAATAATTTAAAAGTTCTAAATACGAGATGTACTATAAATAAACTTTAAAATTATTTTTATTGGAAGCTAATTTTAAAAATATGTACATGAACAATTATTTGTATGACACAAAATGTATGAAAATTCAAGATTGATATTCGATACCAATCCCGTTCAAGTTGAGAAGCAATTTTAAAAGACAACAACCTTCGCTTAGTGCCCCAGTTGAAGGGCAGACAATGTACTTGAACTATTTTAAAAGATTTTCTCAAAAGTTTCCCATGGAGCAATATGGTTTACAAATAGTTTACAATAAATTTTCATCAAACGTCTATAAAGTTTATTAAAACAAGTATGTAGAATGTATTAATATGCAAATAAATAATTTCACAGTTATGGCTATTATATATATGGTTAATTATTTAATAAACATAATTGTTTCAAAGTGTGTTAATTGTTTATAAATAACATTGTTTATCCTGTAAAAGTATCTTACAGTATTGAAAAAGAAAAATTGTATAGATTATTGCATATACAATGACGTAGTCAAGTTATATTTTTATATCTTAACATATAATAGATTTCGTGGAAGATTTTAATACCATTCATGTAAAAGTAATCACATAATGATAAGTTTATAATAATAAAATTAACTAGACATTTATTGACATCATATGTTTCAATTACACGTAATCTCGTTAAATTTAGCCATAGTAACATAATTCTGTCGGATTCAGATTCAATTAATTATGTAATACTCAGCAAGATGATAAATTAATAAGGATATTTGCTATAGTATACTTGTAAAATATTTGAGTTAATAAATTCAATGTTTTTAAAAGGTTAGTAATGTTTACTGTATTAACAAAGTTGTGAAAAGTACTACGGTATTGTAAGTAACGATAACAACCATATCAAGATCAGGAAAACCATGAATGACCTGTATAATCATTAAATGGGCACATTGACCTCCAGCGTGGTGCAATAGTAAGTCGGGGCCCAGACACGCGCGCGCTAACCTCTGACGCAACGAGCGAGCCTAGCATTCGAAGTGGATGATTTAAACAGTAGCTCACAATTTTTTTACTTTAACTTAATTTAATTATTTTAAGACATATATTTGGTTGTTAGAGCATAGTTATTTTACACCAAAAATAAGACTGCAGCTAATATTGTTGTATATTTGATACCAGTTTAACATAAGATGAAGTTTGTAATTTCACTAAGTTTTTGAAGATTTTTCGTGCATATTATAATCATACTATATAGCTATATATTTGTTTATTTCTCTTTCGCACAGAAGAAGCTAAGCTTATTTTGATTAAACTTGAAGTGGCCTATACATCGTGACCATGATATAAAAGTTATCGTTTATTAATATTATAGGTTTCATTAGGAACAAAGTTGTATTTTATATGAAATTAAGACTCTAAATATAGCTGTGAGATGGTTAACGTAGATACGTATGTTTACGAATTAGATAATTCATTTAAGGATACGTTTTTTTACCTCCGAAAATACATAAAAAGGCAATTCGATAAAAACATTAGACAAAACTGGAAATAATACAAATTCATATACATGCATCTTTTTCTAATCAATTGAACAATAATACAACTCTGGCCAGAAATGACATTAAAGGTCTAATATTATAATACAATAATCTAAACTACGTTTAAATATATTTTGAAAGGATATAATTATTAAGTATATTAAATGGAAAAAAGTAGAAAAATTATATCATAAAAGTGCTGGTTACCTTCTGCTTAATGTTATCAAGATGTTTGTCTTGAATTCAGAGCAGGGTAGTCGCTCTGCGTCAGTTAACAAACACCCCAAATCATGTCCAGCATATTTTTCCTTCACGAGTATTTAAGACCAATAGTTTTTGTATCAAACATCATTCCATTCTTTCACTCAGTTAAGGATCAACATCAACAAACCAAAATGTTCAAACAGGTAAGAGGAGAAACTCATAAAACTATTCGATTAATACAATTACATGACATAAAGTCTATTTTGTAAGTTTTTATATATAAAATTTTCTTGATACTATTTTGTTTATATAGATCATATTCGCTGCTCTTTTGGCGCTTGTTGCTGCCAAACCCGGAATCCACTCTGTGGCCTACAGCGCACCCATTGTAGCCGCACCTGCGGTAGCAGCAGCATACTCGGTACCCGTTGGTGCTGCATACCCAGCTCCAATTGCTGCAGCTTATGCCGCACCGTTTGCAGCATACAGAGCGCCCCTAGCCTATTCTGCTCCCTTAGCTGCTTACAGTGCACCGTTATTGTTAAAGTGAACTCAGAAATTTTGATATGATTTTAATGACCAAATAAACTTCTGCCCAAACCGTTATAATTTTTTCATTATATTTCCCTTAACTGATTAACAAGACATATGGATTGTTTAAAAAGGAAGAAATGAGTTGAACTTGTAAAATGTTATCTGTACTATATGCTTAGCTGTGTTTTATCTATTTATAGATATTCACTCAACAAATAATTAAGGGATTCTGATCAAACTTGTTCCAATTATTGTTAAAGTTTTGCTATCTATCCCAACATCAATATTGTTATCCTGAGATTAACTAAATGTCACCGATATAATTACAAGGTCTTTTAATTAGAACACTATTACGTATTCTGAGACGTTTTCAAATTAATTTACTTGCTTTAAGAATAATGTCATAAAACAAAATAAAACATTTAGTTTTTTTCTTAAAATATTTAAACAAAAGATTTTTTATACCATTATTGTATTACAAACAAATGAGATTAAAAAAGTCCTCACTTATACAAATTATTGTTGAATTAAAATTATGCAACACGATGCAAAATATACTTTTAAATAAAACTAACATTTTCGGATTACTATGCGTTTTTTTAAGCCACATCCTCTTCACGTTTCGGTTACTTTGATCGAACCATGATCACGGATAGCCAAGATGTCTCGTTAGAATAATAAAAAAAAATGTAGCAAATCCAAACATATAAGATGTATTTAAATAGATATTCGCGAAAGTCTTAGATCTCATTAAAATTTACTTTTAATACTTAGAGTATAATTAATAGAAAAGCATACTAGCATTTTTTATACGTCATAGATTTTAATGTATCTTAACAGTTATATCTGTCATAAATAATAATTTACAGTAACATAATATTATATATTTAGCAGTAAAATTATACGTCTACCTATATTTTTCATTTAGAATTAATATATGAGACCAAACTGAAAGTTTCTTGATGGTAAATAAATATCTTATGAAAGACATAACAAGTTTCTTACTTTACACATATATCAGATTATTACGGATATTTTTGTACCAAAACCTTTATTTGTCAGTATTATATAAATATTGTTATATAAGTTTATGATCCTAGAAAAAACATTTTCAAACAATTCGTCTTCAGGCGATAAGACCAACCCTTTGTAATTCCTTGTTTACACAGTGTTATGTATTTTATTCCAGAGTTTATTCTATATTGTTTGTGTACAATAAAGTGTAAATAACATATCGGAAACGAGATCTTATTTATTTTACGTAAGACTGATAAAATACTACTTATGTTCTTATATATTACAAGAATTATTAAACATTATAAATGGGTTAGAATAACAAACCTACAAGATGATGTATCGAAATGAATTAATCAGTTATGTTAACATGACATTTAGAAAATTGGCAGCCAACAATGGTACAATAGGTGACACATGTTATGACGCAATTTCTTAGAAACTTTTAAGGTAACTAACTATATAGGAGGGAAATGGCTCAACAATATGACGTCACAATTCTGCCATAACTAGACTATGGTAGCGCTCTATGGAATATAATGTTATTATAGATACATATTCAGTAATTTCCAATATAGTATGCAGTATCAGAGCAAAAAGGTTTCACGAAAATGTACTTTAAGAAAACGATTTATAACATTATTAGCAGTTAGGTGTAACATAAAAAAAGCTTTTGAATCGTTTGGCTTATTTATTGTAGCAAATATATTATGAAAAAACATATCCATGTTTATGTTTCATATGATATATTTTTAGTTGTTCCTAAATACATTACTGTCATTCAAGTTCAAGGTTACCTTTAGTAAGCCTTCCATTGGTCACCTCTTAAGGATACACATCCACAAACAATGCTATGTCGTAGTTTAATTATTGAATTTGACTATTTGTTTAAAGCCCATGGTAACTTATACGCTGGATATATAATGTATTAAAATTTTAGAAGCTATTGTTTTTTCTTTCTAAAGAAAAAAATATATAATAACAGCGAATTATTAAAATGTGGTGTAGTTTTTTTATGTCTATACTATTTCTTTTTATAATTAAAAAAACTGCTTGTATGTCACAAATTAATGTGTCTGTAGACATAAATTAAAATAGAACTCGATCTTTGTTCTTTGTAATAAATAATTATCTATATATAAAAAAATGAATTGCTGTTCCTTGGTCTCACTAAAAGTCGAGAACGACTGAACGGATTTATCTTATCATAGTCTTGAAATGTTCGTGGAGCTTCAGGGAAGGTTTAAAAGCTGAAATTTTTTTATTAATTTCCGGGAAGACCCTAAAAACAGCTCTTTTTTATTTCGGTTTTTTGACATTAGATTTGACAACTAACTAATATGTCAATCATTCTGTCGCACTTCAAAACTCGGAGATTTATGGCTTTAATAGGTAAACTCTAAAAATATAAATAAAAAAACGTAACAGATATTTCTTGATTATAGCGCGATACGAAGTTCGCCGTGTCTTCTAGTTTAAAATAAAAACAAGAACACGTGTCTTTTTTTACTATTATTTCTATTTCCAAAAACCTTTTTTTATTACCAAAAAAATAGCATTAAATGAAAAGCAGACAAAAATCGACATGCCCGTCAAAAATTTGGTTCCAATAATTAATCCAAATGTTTTAAAACATTCATAAATCATCAGATTTTAAGGAGTCACAACACGGTTGCTATAACTAAAGAAAATCTGGTTTAATTTAGTACAGTTAAATCATCGCAGTAATTTTATGATTATCAATTAAGTGGCACAATGTTTAAGAAACATGACGTATTACTTGATCGAAACTTTTAATTCCACCTTTAATAATACATAGTTTTTTTTTAAGATTTTCTACATTTGTTCACTTTCACCAAGTAGTCAATAACAAAAATTTTGCAATACTTAACGGGTACTGAAAAATAAGTAAAAAAAGAAAAAAACAAATTAGTTTTTCAAGATTAACTGAAACAATGTCCATATGCAATTTACTATAGTATTATTTTTATAGAAGATTCTTAATTCAATAAAATGATACATACGTGTATATGCTATTTAATTTTTTATTTTTATGTATCATTATTATCATTATCCTTGGAATAGTTTTTAAGACCTGAGTAATATAATATAGTGACTACAACATCCATATTAAAATGCGGTTACCGCACTTGCGCCGAATGTTCTACACCGTACTAGATCCTATTGTTATACAGGAGGTATTATTTTGATTATTTAAAAACTAAGATCACAATATTATTCATTTAGCTTACCTTACTCTTTCGATCTTATTGTAGGTACAAAATAAATATTTCCAGTGTGTTATTATGTGTAATAAAAGTTATAATTGTATTAATTATATAGTTCAAGTAATTTAATATTTAAAAATCAATTCACATTGCGTTGTCAATACTTAACAACATACAATAATATACAAAGAATACTGAAACAAAAAGTCATGTTTTGTGTTTCGTCTTACTAGAGTTTTTCCCTTTTCCCTTTTTTAATAAAGCCTTTTACATAAGATTAATAAATCATATATTGCATAAAAAATTATAAAGATCTTTCCTTATCTAAAAACTGCAGTCCAAATAACGTAAAAATGTAATCTTTTGTGTTTTAAGTATTTTAAGTTAGTAGCTGTATACAGTAGTTGTTATCGCTTATATCTATAATCAACCTGTATAATCTAATGTGCAATCTATGTTTATTCGAGTCGCGTCCCGTGAGTCGCGTGTCCTTGACGAGGTGCGCAGGCGCCGATACGATGCCAACTCGGGGGTCATCACAGTCCCTTATATATTAGTCAGGTTTTTACCAGAACAATCAGTGTTCAACGGACATACAAAACAATCAAACAAAATGTTCAAATTGGTAAGTATAATACATATATCTTTAAATATCTATAGTTTTAAAACATGTTTTTTAAATTAATTATAGATAAATATTTACTTTCATTTAAATATAACAGTAATATCAGATTCCATCATAATTCAATATTTTGCTTCAAACTTAGTGTTTTCAATTTATTAAATAGCTGCAGATTGTAGACATTGAAGATTAAAATTGCATTACAGAGGTATTGCACATAAATCCTTTATTAACAATATTTGTTTTACTTCTACAGCTGTTATTCGTCGCCCTCCTGGCTTTCGCCGCAGCCAAGCCCCTGGTGTACACAGCACCACTAGCTGCAGCATACACAGCACCTGTTGCTTACTCTGCAGCATACTCAGCGCCGGTTGCTTACTCTGCATACAGCGCTTACTCTCCGGTCGCTTACTCCGCCTACACTTATGCGTCACCATATTCATACTACCTTTGAGCTTTGGACCCCCTTGTAAAGAATGCAATGATTTAATGGATTTCGATAAACGAGTATTTATTTTTTGGCAATAAACTTACTGTCTATTACTTCAGATTTTCATTTTATTATCTTGTAATTTTTATTTCACCTTTATTACTTTTATAATTATGAATTTTATAATCTTGATAAGAGTGATTATTATTTGGTCATTTATTAAGTGTTTTAAATTATTTACAATACTATTGACAAAAGTTTTATTAAAAAAATAAATAAAACCAATTTAAAATTCAACCAATTCCTTTTATATGTTATAACATATTTTATTGTCACCTATATAATATAAACATCCAACGTTCAACATACCAAACTTCCCATATCTGTTATTTTGCTTTAATAATATTGACAGGGGCTGTAATAACAATTGCTATAACTGGTCAATTAACTTAGAACATATCTTACAAATAAACAATATATAAATCGTACATGAGGTATTCTGTTTAAAGTTTATCAATTTGAAAACAACATTTTTATAAAGAAAATAGGGTCAATAAAGCCTGGAATTTTGATAGCGTTTTAAAGCATAAGGAGCATCAAATATGATAAAAACTTATATTTTTAATATATCAAACAAATTTACCAATTAGAACAACAATAATCATGAAAATGTACGATACAGGAAAGGAGAACAACTACACAGTTATGTTTATTTTATACTTAAAATTTAACCTGAAAAGAATTTCATACATTAAGTTGCTACATTCGTAATCTTTTATTAGGTTGGTGCGTATGAAATGTCGCATTCTCTTTACATGCGGACGTTTGTCTCCCTGTTTTCGTTATACTTTTGTCTTTGGCATAACCTCATTCATAGTCGTATTGTCCATTCCCAGAGACTAATTTCAACAAAATAGGTTTTCTCGAAAGTCTTCTTTTTTGTTATTTCTTTTGAGTTTATTGCCGATATGAATTCTACCGACATTCGCGTCATTTTCTCATATGAGTATAAACTTGGTAACACTGCTGCAAAAGCTGCACGCAACATAAACCAAGCGCTTGCGGAGAATACGGTTAACGATCGGGAAGTGCAGCGTTGGTTCGAAAAATTTTGGACTGGCGATTTTTCACTGCAAAATGAGTCGCGTGGAAAACCCAAAACGTCTGTGAAGAATGATGACCTGAAGGCTCTAGTGGAAGCGGAACTTGCTATCAGGATGAAAGTTGACCATACAACGATATTGAGACACCTTTCTGAGATTGGCAAGGTTAAGAAGATGGACAAGTGGCATGGCCCGCTACTGCTCCATGACAACGCTCGGCCGCATACATCGCACAAAACAATTGTGAAACCGAACGAACTGGAATATGAAGTTTTGCAGCATCCACCATATTCACCAGATCTCTCGCCGACCGATATTCATTTTTTCAAGCATTTAGAGCTGTTTTTGAGGGGCAAACACTATGAAAATGAAGACAGTCTAAAAACTCGATATCAGAGTTTATTAATTCTAAAGAACAACATTTTTTTAAGACAGGCATCTAGGCCTTAAAATCTCGTTGGGAGAAGTGTATTGAAGCGAATGGAGCATACTTTAATTAAATAAACAGCTTTTGAGGAAAGATATGCAGTTTTATACAATCACTTAAGAATCCGACATTTCATACGCACCAACCTAATATATTGATTAATTAATATAATCATGTTAATTACAGTGACACAAAACGTTATAAAGAAAAAGTACTTAAATATGTGAATTAATTGAATTTTTTGTTACAACTAACTAATTTAGGATATTTATTCTAGAGGAAATTTTTAAGTGCTATTTACATTTATAGTGATTTATAGTAATTTATTATTTTAAACTGGATACCTACTATTTTCGTTTCGGTTGCTTTGCCTCAACCGCGGTCTTGAGCAGACAAGTTAAAGTAATAAAAAATAGTATCAAAAGATTTATAAATGTAAATTTAAATGTGGTGTAACCGCTTATAGCAAACTCTTATGGACAACCTTCGGTAAAAAGAAATAGGTAAAGATATGAGAATGATACAAATATTTTGAACTCTATTCGTATACACCCTAAGATACAATATACATACATACATCGAGAATAACTATCTTTAAAACAATACACATATACGTGTCATACACAAATGAAAATGGAAAATTGTATGTACCTAAAACAAAAAGAGATGTATTTATTAAGCCACAATATTTATGAAAGTTATACTTATATTTGGTGATTTTAAACTTTTATTTTTTTGGAAATTATAAGTCCAGATATCCTCACGATGTTTTTCTTCACCGTCTGCCAGTGGTATCTAAATACTCTTAGAAAGTACATATGACTCGGAAAAAGTCACATTGGTACTTGCCTGGGCCAGGATCGAACCCGCGCCCTCGGCAACGAGAGACGAGCACTTTAACCATTAGGCTCTGACTGACTGACTGACTATTGAACATATATGTATTATTATTAATTTATTTCTGTACATCAGTTTTCAATAATCGTCAAATATAAAAAAAATCGGTAATACGAATGTCCGCAGAAAGTATAATTCAAATTTGACCGTGAGAAATCTTTGTATAAAGTAATACTATTGGCAATTCATTATTATTTCTTGAACGTAGACCCTAGTCTCTTTTTTGTGTAAAACAAAAAAAAGAGAGCAAAAGAAAGAATGACATGAAAATAAAATATAAATTGAAGTCAACTTCGATTTTGTCTGTGTATGTTTGTAACAAATGCATTCGACAGTAAATGTCTATGCATCACAAAGTCTGTCAAAATATTTCATAGTTATTATTTTAAAATCCTTATTTAGTAAGTAATTATGTAGAGTAGCAACCGGAGGATACAGGAAAACTACGATACATACTTATATATATATATTAACATACGAATTACATATTAAAACTTATAACCTATACCTAAGACTACATGATTGCCCCGATGTTAGGATGACAATGGCATTCTATTCCTTGTGTGGTATGTAGAATCTTCTGGGTCACACGGATTGGTGTTGGTTCCGCGGTGCCAGCATCGTCACTCGTTATACGATATTTTACCGATACAAAAAGGTCGCCCAAGCGATGTTCATTTTTTTTCTTCATATGTAGCGCGTACGTGACAAAGTTGTAGTTTCTCTTGATAATTAATAATAATGACAATCACAAAAGGTAACCAAAGAAAATTTCAGAGAAATTAATTCCAGCATACATATAATTTAACGGGATTTCTCATATGAAACTAACCTCTTATTAAATGCACGTGGTATTTTCGCACGTGGCAAACCTTCATTCTGAGATTTATGTGAGTATATGAATGGTTAAAGATCGTAAAAGTCAGTTACTACTAAAGTTTTTCCCTCTTAAAGTTCACTTCAAACTTATGAAACAGTAAAAGGTGACGTCAGCCTTTTATGATGGCTTTCGAAAGGAAATTAAATGCATATTATATACCTCGATACTAAACCGGGAAGATAAAAAGAATTTATCCAATGACGTGATTTATCCGCGTCATTGGACGGCATCAGAAAAATAGTTCTTTCTTTTGAAACAATGGCTCTTAATTATACAAATTATAATTTTCTATTTATGTATAACTTATCCACTTTTATAATATGGTAACGTAGCATTGACTAGAATTAAATATTCATGTGATAAGATATAATTATTTATCGATCTAGGTTTAAAATGGAAAGGTAATCTCGTTATCCTCCAACAATAAATATGTGCACAATTTGATTAATATGATGCAGGATTGACGTATTTTATTATTGCTATAAAACAATGATCGTATAAAATTTGACTTTAGCAAATAATTCACAATAATATGATATTTTTATACATGTATGTATGTAAATGATTTGAATAAAGACTTGCTTTTGCTCACATTTTTGTTTCTGTCAATTTGTTTCGTTATGAAACTTAAACTTTTAAACAAAAATCACAAGAATAATTCGTATTTTATCCGGATTAAGATGTGAAAATTTAATGGTACTTTTTTCTTGTGATAGCTGACTTTTAACATTATACGGTTAATGTTTCTGTAATAAACATTCACTATGTTACGGTAAAAACGCTTTTTCAACTCATAGAAAGTACCATATCATTTTAGTTTAATTTATACATATATCATTACTTTTGAATTTTCTATAAAACGTTATGCATTTATTATTTAAGTAAATACAAACAATTTTATACTTTATTACTATTTCAAATAAACATGATTATTGTCTGTATAAAGGTAAGAATTGCAGTGTAATTTTATTTCTTTCCGTATATTTCATCACCAACATGGTTGCAATTAAAATGATAAATTTATGTCACATTCGCATTATATAAAGCACGTTTTAACATTCTTCAATCGAGTAATTATATAATAAATAAACTTTATTTAAGTCCGTCGCCCCGACATGTTAAATTATATAATAATACAAAATAAGTTGAGCTTCCTCATTCTTAGCACCATATTGTTGTCAATAAAAGAACAAAAGCAAAAATAGCTAATCCAATTATAGTGCCTTACCATTGAACAAAATTCTAAAATATATTAGTCGTTATTTTGAACATGCCGATAGTAACTTTTTCCTGAAACAGTGCTTTATTTTTTCCTTACTATTTATAGTTCTAACCATATAGTCACGAAATAACAATACAAACTTTATTTATAACTATGTATATTAAAGTAGTGGGATGAAAGTTATTTTATTAAAAATACTTTTTCTTGTAGGATACTATTTGATTTTATAAATAACTACGATGAACATCGACTTCTGTAATGATTATTCTTCTTCTACCTGGCAATTTCCCGGCTATAGCCAGGGTCTGCCTTAACATGTTGTGAATAGTTTTATCTAATTGTTTTTTACGACCGGCCTGCCTGACATCAACCCTCTTTTTCGAATGCATTAATCAGTGATGTCTAAATATTCTCAGAAAGTACCTACATATGTCTCGGAAAAATCACATTGGTACTTGACCGGGCCAGTATCGAACCCGCGCCCTCGGCAACGAGAGGCGGGCCCTCTGACCACTAGGCCACCACTGACATAACGAGTTCTGTAATGATTATTATTGATAGAATTTATCTCATTCACACTTATTGTATTTTTTGTATATTTATATATACAATTATTTTTATATTAATAATTCCACATGTTAACAACTTGTTTCTCTTCACTACTGTCACTTAATAATTATTATATTTTTATTGTAATGTTCTGTATTATTGTTTTAGTCTTTAATTGTTAAAGAGTAGCTATCCTTTGTATTATAAGGATGTGGTAAACACAAGGTCACAAAAATTTTTGGACTCTCCAACTTATTTCCATTAAGATTATACATTCTTTTGTCTCATGATACCATTCAAACGGACCTTGGCAATAGATTTCTAAGAGATTCTGTCACACATTTACAATTGTATTGGTCACTTTGTTCCTATTTTTGGCATTTTGAATAAATAGCCAAATTATTTTCGTTTTATTCAGACATCCATCAAGTCAGCAATAGCTAACAACTGGTTACTTCTAAAACACCAACATGAAATTCACTTTGGTAAGTCTCCTTTTTTATTATTTTCATCAAAAAAAGCGTAAAATAATTCTATATCTATATATACATGACTATTATTTTGTCTAAAATGTAAAATAACTACATGAAACATTTAAATCCGACAGATTACCCTGACGGCGGTGCTGTCTTCCGTTTTAGCAGATCCAGCCCTGTTTTTGAACGGAGGTTTCTTATCTTCCTATCCGTCATATGCTTCAGCTGCTCTGCTAGCACCTGGGGCAGCACAAGTTGTTGCCCCGGTTGCACCGGTTGCACCGGTTGCACCCGTCGCACCAGTTGCTCCCGTTGCCCCAGTAACATCAACCTTGGCAGATTACAGCTATGCCTACGGATCTTCTCTTACATATCAAGATAGATACCTCCCAGCCGCCGCTGCTGTAGTCAACTCAGCATACACTCTCCCATACAACCTACCCTACGCATACGCCGCCGATTACTTTTACCGCAAATAATAATATCTCGATCGATATCGCTTGAAATATTTGTATGATTGATTGTTGTTATATTCTTAAGAATAAATTTTTTGATTCATGATGTTATAGACTTTTGTTATTCTTTTTTGAATCATAAACATTGGATAGTATGTATTATAAAGTTAAATGAATAATGAATAGTAAGACGTTTCCCAGGCGGTAGAGCCTAGATGTGGTCAAGTTATTAGAAACTTCAGCTTGAACATGGGCTGGCTAAATAAGGGAAGTACCACGTTTTGACAGAATATCTGCGTGAAGTAGCCTTTAGACATTAGTGGATATCCATTAGCAACGATGACTTCTGCCCATCAAGTAGTCCGTCTGCTCGTTTACCGCCTTTTACGTATAAAAAGTAATAATAACATAATATAAAAATATATTAACACATTTACTTATAGTAAAGCCATTCATTGATTTTGCTACAGCATCTTGTTTTAAAAATTATTATTTATATTTCTTTTCAAAAGCGTTACACATCTTTTTAGAAATTTTCTCATAATATAATACGATTTTTTTTCTTATTTTTAAAGTCAGAAGCTCTTACGTCATTTGCTTTTAAAACAAAGAAACTATTTTCTTAACGTTAAAGATTTTAACATGATATTATACGCTTTGATAGGAATACGCACGAACACTAAAACAAGCAAATGAAGATAAAAATATCGCCTCTTTATGTTATACGATAAAAGCAGAATATTCTTTCAATGCTATTTAAATTTATCACTTGTATTTATAAGTAACATAGCCATAAAAAGTCGTAGTAATGATTCTACATATATCTATTTCGAAACGAACAAACAAAATAATACTGTAGAATCTACATATATGATATAAATTTTGATAAGACAATTTACGTACATGAATGGGCTCATCATAATAGTTTAATTCAAATTCTATTTATTGACTTAAGTTAATTTAATATATGTTTTATAAAATTTTGTGAACAAAATAGTGTTGGTATAAGGAATTCATAGTTAAGATAACCTCGGATTAATTAATTATCATATTTCTATATATTCGTTTTTCATATCAAAATCTATTTGTATTAATTCATAATAATATGCAGAGCTTTCAAAATCAAATACAAAAATATGCAAAAGAATTTTATTTACACGAAAGGCATTACAAAACCATTAAACAGGCGGAAGTCGTTGCCACAAACAAAAGTACAAATTTCATATGTCTACCAAATCAACAGTTAATGTTGTTTTTCAACTACAACCTAAGCTGTTGACTGTGAAGAAAAATGAAATGATTTAATACAAATAACTTAGGTTTGTGGCATTGGTTGTGGAACTAGCGAATTAAGTAAGGATTATAAGCATATGGATACGCATAGGGGGCAGCGCCGTAGAGTCCACCATAGTAAGGGTAGCCCGCTGCTACTAAGCCAGGAGCAGAGTAGGCCAAGACCTGGGGATCAGGCTTGGGGCTGGCGAAAGCCACGGCCAGCACGGCGAGGAAGAAGAACTAGAATTCAAATGAAAACATAATAAATTCATTGTTAACTTAAAGGTCAAATACTCGTCAAATAATCGTGGTAATATGATTAAATGTAGTGGTCAATGACTTTGTTCATAAGGCTTCTTTTACTTTCATGGAGACAGGAATGAAGATAATATAGAATAAGCACGTTTCGTAAATTTTGTTAAGGTCGGTATAGTAATGGGATAAGAACCTTTGTTAACCTTAAGTGTCAAAGGGTGAGGGGCCGCGTATTATGTGACTTTATTCCCTTCAAAGCTGGAATTGGAATCCCTATAGTGATCTGGTCTTTACCAATAACAAGAGATATTTATATTTAATTGTGTTCACTCCTTTATAGCACAAGATGGTGATACCTTTATGAAAATTTTAATGGTAGTCCATAATACAAAGCTATGTTAAATCGTTGCTTCAAAGGTTATATAGAATTATTGCTTTGTTATTTGCAGATTTTAATAGATTTAAATTATAAACAATATATTTTTTTTTTTTTTGTAATACTTAAAGAACTTTTTTTAAATAAAAAATTATAAAATGATTATCGGAAATATTATATATATTTTTTATATAAAAATAATACTCACCACTCTGTAGAACATGGTTATTGAGTTACTTGGTAAGGATATCTCAAGTGATAGCTAATAGAAACCGCTCCATTTTATATATACAACTCCGACCACGCCCAAGACAACTGCTTTGATAAAAACCGTCCTTGATCTTCAAACTAATATATTCATGTACCTATTATATGAATAGTCAATATCCGGGTAAGTGCTCTATTACATGACAGTCATTTAATATGACAACTCAGTCCATTCAACATTACAACGTGGTGACATACACGCGACAATATTTAATGCTATTGCATTTTCTTAACAAAAATTCTTCAATAAAAATAACCGAATTCAAATATTCGACTAGCAAATATATTATATTCTTAAATAAATCTTCTTCACAAAATTACGAGACTTATGTAAACTTGAACCGTTTGAGTTGAGTCAATATTATTATAACATTGGACACATCCAGATGTGACCGATATATGAGTCTGGGATTGATAAGAGATTAGTGTCAATATTTAAAGAACTCCTGAGATTTTCACAAACATATTATTCAATTTGTATAATATTTGCAAAACTTATAAAGTAATGCGACTTTTAGTAAAGTTATAATATATAATCTATACAGATCAATTGTGAATTTTAAATAAACCATTTTCATTTTCATAGCAATATTATTTTATGGCTAAAAAATAGCATCGAAACGTTCTTGTTGATGAAGCTGATACAAAATAATCACTAATTTTCAGGATCTATTTTTTTTTTTTTTGTTATTTTATTTAAGAAAATGATGCATAATTTCATTGTCAGGAACAGTTAATTTCATATTAACTTATAATAAAAATGATAGCAATGTCGTGTTAATTTCTAATTGTAATTGAGCATAACTATTTACAGGAAGTTGTTTTTATAAAAATGTATGTACAATACAATTAAACTTTAAATAAAGCGGTGTAATTAAGCAGCTGCTGCTATTAGCTTACAAAAAGACAAGGTTTTGGCCGCTGGTTCGCTTGCAATCATCTTATTCTATAAGCCGTCAATAGTTTCTTGTTTTAGAATAAAAGATTTAAGTTAATGAAAGCGTTAAAAAAACAGTATTTATATTATAATAAAACATCAAAAAGTTTACCATTCATCAACAAATAAACAATCGTATTTGTCACAAGCTAATATTCAACTTACAAGTTATTTGTATGCAATTTAATAAGGACGAAATCTTGCAATAAATTTTGAATATTATCTTGATTATTCCCTGAAAATATATCTACAAGTTCAGTTTGTGCAATGGGTGGCAATCCAAAAAGAAATTGTGACATCATTTTGAATCTTACAAGTTTGAAAACTAAAATAGAGTCATGAGCTCGAGCTCAAGCCTTTTTTTATACAAAAACTCTTTATTTTTGAATAAAATTTAGAATGTATCATCGTTGTTTAAAGCTAAAAGTAACAACGACAAATTATGCTTATAAGAAAATTACTACAGTGAACCGACTGTTGTAAGATAAAATAGTATGTTGTATGATTCGAAATCTCTTTTCTCAAATTCAAAGGTGTTTTTAAATATATGAATGTTTCTTACTATTTATAACTTTTTTTTTTTTGATCTCCGTATTCTAAGGAATCTGTTTATTCTGGGAAAGTATTTTAACTTATATTATATATGACGACAAGGTTAAAAATTAAATTATAGTTATGTTTAATTAGTATATACGAGGTTAAAATGAAAATTATAGAAGTTTCATCTTGATTATCTTCATAATAGTTGAAAATACAGTATTGTACGCTGCTATTTACTACGAAAGCAAAATAAATAGTCACTTTAATATGCAGAGGTCAGTGTTCTTTTCCGGGAAGCGATGGCAATAAAATAAAAGTTACGAACAATTGGCCGTTCTTTAAAGTCGTTATGATATTCGACTTTAATATATACCAATAACATAAACAATAAAATACGTGACTTATATACAAAATTGCTTAACCGTCTCTAACTAAAGTCCACCAAACAAATATAATATTTTGTGTTTAAAAATGCACTAGGTATTTTTTCTATTAATATAAATAAAAACGATCTGCAATTTGTTGTCTTTGAGTTTTGATTGTCTTAATTATATAGGGTGGCAACCGGAGGTTCCAGGAAAACTACGAAACATACTTATATGTATATTATATTAACATACGAATTACATTTTAAAATTTATAACCTTTACCTAAGACTATGATTTCCCCGATTTAGTATGACAATGGCATTCTATTGCTTGTGTGGTATGTGGAATCTTCTGGTTCACACGGCTTGGTGTTCGTTCCGCAAAGTCAGCGGCGTCACTCGATATATTTTACCGATACAAAGATGTCGCCCCGGCAATGTTCATTTTTTTTTCTTCATATGTAGCGCGTACGGAACATCTTATTAAATATTGGGACTAGTAAGCTTTTTATCTTCAAAACATTAAATTTAACTAATATGGAACAATATTATTATACTTATTATATAAAATGCTAGCCACAAAGTCAGAGCTTCCAGGAAAACTGCATAATTTTAGAAATGTATTATAATAAAAATTACATTTGTAAAATGAAATGAAGTTTAAGGATACTTCGCGTTTTTAATTATCATATTTCCACATATTCCATACGTTTCGGTTCCTTTACAGCAACTGTGGTCGCGGGCATACGAGATCAAATACGAGTAATTAAAAACGCGAAGCATCCGAAAAATTTGGTTTCATTTATACGTGTACTCGCATAAATCTTATATAACCGTATACATTTGAAAAACTCATCAATTTTCCTAAACCTACTTGATCGCCTCGCTGTAATGTCATCAAAATATTTACATGGTATCAGGAATCATTATGTTGTCATGCATCCAGGTGTTGGTTCCGCCGAGTAAGCAACGTCACTCATCATAAATGTTATATATAAAAATATATCACCCAGGCGACGTTCGTCCAATTCTAATATTATTTCGGCCCACGTAACAAATTGTATTAATACATATTTTAAAAACATACCCGTTAAAAAACATAGCTTGTAATATAATTTATAAGAGTATGATAAGTATTAGAGTGATCCACAGTTATACCATATTGAATATTCAAGTTTTTTTTTTTATTGAATCAAATCTGTTCTGACACATATCTTGCACATTGTGATTAACTAATAATATATTTTCTATAGCACACAAATAAACAATTTGGGTATATATTTAACCTTGACTTGTTTCAAACCAGTCCAGCTAGGGTAATAAAATATCTATCTATCCCACATTACCCATTATCTATTAATTTCAACAAAAAAATATTAACTTAGCAACTTCTATAGCTTGCTAGCTGTTGTTCTGATTTTCTGAAGTTTAGATGAGTCAATTTGAACAGACGGATGAAGTTTATTCTGACCGTTTTTTGAGAACTAAAACATATTTCTAATAGGCCAAGGAAACTAGACTATCTACATACATATTTTTTTCTAAAGACACTCTAATTATTATTATCTCTCCTCTTAAAAGCGTTCTATTCAAATTACCCTAATTTTTCTATTTGGAAGAATGCTTTGATTGTCTTAGAGTTAATTTCGAGATATTCATTTAGTTCTTGTTTTTATTTAATTGTAATAAATAACAATTTGTTTCTTTCTCATTTAACCAACTACACTACATATGTCTTACTACTCTATCTCTGATGATCTTCATTTTAATATTTTATGAGCATTATTTTCTAAATTCTAGTAAACAGTAGGTACTAAGGTACTGTTAGCCCTGTCTAGTATAAAAAGTCATGACTTCATAATACATATATATGTGCCCATTCTTTATTATTATTCCATAACTTTTTATTGCAAATGTTGATTTCAAAAGCATTTAATGTAACTTGTTATCTATTTTCATATCTGAGATTAAGCCATCAGAATTATTTATTTCTTAATAGAAATTAAGACGAAATTAATAAGTCGAAACAATATCTATCAACTCCCTTTATATACTTAGTGGTTACACAACATCAAACAGTAAACATGATATTGATTACGTTTGTTCTATGTTACTTTATTTGTTGCAAGAACTAAAGTTTAAGTAAACGTTAGGTAATACTGGTAAGCAATGTTAAGAACAAGTTAAACATGTATAGTTTAAGGCTATTACATGATAAACCGTTGCTATAATCCTTGGAAACATCAATTTATAAATTAAATTTCAGTTTTCCTGAATATTATTTAGATTTCCACAAATCTATAGTTCATTGAGAACTTATTGTTAGTATTTGTATACTAAGTCAGTGGTGGCCTAGTGGTTAAAAGCCCGCGTCTCGTGCCTGAGGAAGTGGGTTCGATCCTGGCAAGTACCAATGTAATTTTTGCGAGTCATATGTACATTCTAAAAGTATTTAGATACCACTGACAGACGGTGAGGAAACCTGGACTTGTAAATCACCAACCCGTCTTGAGCAATGCAAAAGTATTTAATGCTCAAACCTTCTCCATGTGAGAAAGAGGCTTTTGCTCAGCAGTGGGCTCTGATAGGCTGATGACGACGACTAAGTCTTTAAATATAAAGGTTGACACAAGTGATATTTCTCAGAGGTTAGTTATAACTTGTAAGAAATAAAAACTTGTATGACTTGTATGAATAAAAACTTGTATGAAATTTAGAATACGAAATGCTTTAGAATAACAATATACTAAATCTTGTACTATGATAATATTATTAATATTTTAGTATACTATATCATAAATGAGATATTCTTATATCTGTTTATATTTTTGATACTATTAAATGAGAAATAAAGAAGGTAAGGAAGAAAATTCCATTTATTACGAAATCATTATATATAAAATATATATAATCGTATCTGGTCTTTAATGAAAGGAAAAAAACATTTTATCCCATACATATTTTTTGATATTATTTACTAATATTAATACACACCATAACCATAGTTATATGGGTAACCGGAATAAGCTGGGTATCCAGAATATGCTAGAGGATTTGAATATGCGGAATAACCATTGTAACTTGGATAACCGGAGGAGTAACCACTGTAGCCGTAACCAGGGTATAGCTGAGGTCGAGCCATGGCCAGAGCAAACAAGGCGAACAGTATAATCTGAAATTATTAATATAGATAATTAAGATACTAGTTGTTTTTTATCACTTTTCAGGTTTTAGTAAAAAAAAAAAAAAAGTATATAAATTATGCCAGACAAACTTGAAAGCAAAACGATTTCATAGTTATTTTTTGTAATTAAGCCTTCCACTTTTATTAAAACATAAAATACAAACATACAATAATATTACACTTTACCACCTCATTCTAAACTTTTATAATCACATAACATGTTTCTTTGAACTCAGTTTGTAAATGTTATCCACAAAAGTATCGAGTACAAGCATATATCAAAATTAATACTCATATTTCATATAACAAATATTTCTTAATCTAAATTATTTGAACAGAAAAGAGAAATTCAGTTCCAATTAAATTAGAAGATTAAGAGTCAGTAATAATGATACTTTAAGATTTGATACAGAAATGTCATAATTTTTTTTAATAAGATAAATTGTCTATCGGCTTACCAGTTTGGAGATCATTTTAAAGCCTTAAAGGAACGAAGAGTTTATTTTAATGACAGAAAAGGTCCGATCTTCTTTTGGTTTCGCAATCACACTGTCCTATTCTTTATTATTTGACCAATATTTATACAAGCTCGTGTCCTTGAGGTATTGAACTATAAAGTATAAAACACAGAGACCAAATGTAAATAATGAATACAGAATAAATTGTGAAGACGAGCACTACATTTACAATTAGGTTCCTTTGTTTCATACAAATCTTGAACATGATACGAATATGGCAACCGCTTTTGTTATTAATGACATTGCACTCTTTTAAACACAAATATTCCGTATGTATTATGTAAATGATTCTAACGTCGCCAAATCATTTTGACCTTTATCACGATGCTTGTGGAAATGACATAAGGGTATGCTTAGATAACAGGGCAAGAACGACTTCATAAGGTTCATTGTACTGTAATAGACTCCCGAAAATTATATCAATTTAAAAACATCAAATAATATTATATGGTGATCCATTTTTCTAATGGAAAAAATATTTCGTCTTTATTTCACTCTAATTAAGTTTTCTAGGGCTCGTAAATAACTTTTACTGAAGTTGATCTAAATAAAGAAATTCCTTGTACAGAAACATATTTTCTTCTAATGATCGGAATATTAGCAAGTATTTTCATCGAAAATCAGGTCACTTGCTTGTTGGGAAAGAATATTAAAAATAAGAAGACACAAATAAAATACTAACAATGGTCTTACAAAAGTAAATATTACCTAAATATTTAGTGATTATGATCTTCAACATTATAAAAAATTTATTATTACTCTTGTAAGAAATAATATTTTTTAAGTGAAATTCATATTTGTGCAATGACAAGCCTATTCATTGGAATAAAACAAATTTAATGATATAAATTTAGCATAGTGCAGTTAAATAGAATACAGAAATACCACTATTTTGCAATCAATCTATTCCTGTCTCATAAACCTACAGTAAACAGTCAAAATCGTCAACAAACGAATTATACAACACAAATTATACAATGCAAACTGAAATTTTAGGTATACCTAAATGGCATTTATTTTCAAATTATTAAGGTCAAAGAAAAAATATATTAATTATTTATCGTTGCTAAAATGAATAAGAAAATAAGATTTGGTAAAATAGGATGGGAGATATTTTAGATAAAAATTGTTGAATTTACGAAACGATACAAATCTCATATGATTCAAATTAAAATATCCTTAGTATTCCTGTCAAAAAGAAGTCAAATGACATTTAAAATTTTTCATTTAGGCTTCCATACATTTAGGCATATTTAAAGTAGTACGGTGTCACATTCAACTTTTACCAATTAGATTTAAGATAAAACCGTATTAGATAGTAAAAAGTATTAAAATATAAATAAATATGAAAATTATTAAAACTTCTAATTGGAGAAAGTAAAAAAATTAAACAATTAAAAAGTTTTGAAAAGATGTTTTCAATGTTGTCTACATTGAACATAAAAATATTGAAACTAAATGAGAACCTCCTCTTTTTTTAAAGTCGTTAATAATTATAGAAACTATCAAACATAGTATTTTAAAGCTCGTCTTTATTTGAAATTCAAATTAAGAGGTGAACATTGGTTTGTATTTCAAGACCTATAACTAAAAATGAACTTACTGTTCCTAATTCTAAACCCAATCATTAATTAAACATAACATAAATTAAACATACAATCCTTTTTATTTCTAACCTAGTGCCGGACAATTTTATATTTATCTTAAGTCCGTTTATACCGCGGTATAATCTAATGTTATTTCAATGAACAAATTTATATTCATTATTGTATATTTTCATTTATTCAATTAATACTAAATGTTTTTTAATAATCCATTGTATCTCTAATATCCAACTCTTTCTAGTCTATTAAAGCTACCTTCATAACAGAATCTTACTCATCTAAAGTTCAATAATAATGGTTAGGTAAATCACTTTTTCATTTCTGATAACGTTATAATATTTTTAATATTAAAAACTAAGTTAAAAATATCTAATAAATCTGCATAATTTAATCATTTAAAAAGATTTTTTTGTCTTATGTTTTTACTCCTTCCAAGTGTATTCTATAAGTACGTACAATTACTTTCGTCTTAATCAAATGAGTCAGGTTTCTTCGTAACAAACATATGCACGGAATTTAGTAATTTCTTAAGGTGAAACATATAGAAATAAAACAATTATTGCAATTGAAAGTTAATTTATTGAAAAGCCGAAGTTATTTAAAGTCGCCAGGGTTATATCATAGATAATTTCAACGGACGAAATACGCGTTAGCTGGGTACGCGGAGTAAGTGAGGGGAGCAAGTGGGGCAGTGTACGGAGAAACTACAGATGGCAGACTGGCTGAGTAAGCAGCAGGATAGACATAGTCCAGGCCGGCTGAGTAAGTGACCAGCTGTGGAGATGGCTCAGGTTTTGGAGCGGCGAAGGCCACAGCCAAGACAGCGAAGAGAGCGAACTGTAAGTAGAAACATAAATATAATTACTTACATACTTCTTAATGAAACATAAATATACTGAAATAAAAAGTATGATAAATATACAATATAAGAAATATAGAATGAAAAATTAATTAACATTGGTAGTACACGAATATGATACCTCCGAAAAAAAACGTTCAAATTGTTTTATCCCTTGATATAAGCGAAACATCGCTTTATTTTTTATATCACAACTATATAACAACATACTTATTAACTACAAGACATTAACATAGTAAATAGTATATGTCTTAAGGTCTTAACTCTAATATATTCTTATGCAATCTGGCAGACATAGTATACATTTAATATGCAACCATTACATTACATTGTATTAAATGAATTATAATGCATATTCTATAAGTTTAATTTGTATATATAATAATTGAAAAAATATCTTACCAATTTGCGGAACATGTTTGTAAGTACAAGCTTGTGAGTACAAGTGCATTGTCAAACATTTCTGACCATATATATAACCGAATAATATCCTTGAACTTCAAAACAAAAATAATGATAATGTTATGAGAGCATTGAATCATGTTATGACAGAATGAATACATCACGGAAGTTTTGTTTCAAGCTTTTTGATACCGCTTATTTAATGTCACATAAACTTAATATAATATAAATGTTTAATTTGATAATATTTTTACAATAAACGTACACAAAATATTCATTTTTTTTTTCATATATATTACCTATTTCTTTGTTTAATATATGTAAAAACTCAAAAAACATTTTGTCGTCAGCTAAGATAGTGTGAACGCAGCCTTATGTTAGTAATACTTGTCGATCCTTAAATGGCTGTCTCACTATTCATCTTGCTCTAATTATCATTGTATGTTATTATGTATATTTCTTTGAACGCCTACAATGAAATTGCTTCCTTATATTTATAGACTATTATAGTTATAATTGATCTATAAATGGTTCTAGAATATTTGACATATTTTTTTGTATACATTATTTCTTTAATTTACAATATAAATTGTTTATAACTTTTTCCGTAATAAAAAGCGTTATATAAAGTTTATTTATAAATTCTATATTGGTCTCAAAACAAATATGAGAGAAGGCTTAATAGAGTTATGCATTTATTAAAGTATTCTCTAGAATTTAATCTATTTTTTGTCAGATTATGTTTAGAGATAAACTAAGTTGTTGTGACTAAGTAGTTGTGAATTACAAGTATATACGTGTATGAATGTAGTGTATGTTATTTATTCAATAACGTCCGAAAGTAGTCTTCTTTAAATGACTCCTTTTTCCATTATGTATACTTAAGTGGTAAATAAAAGGTTAGTAAATATATTCTCATTAGCCGAACCATGAAGAGTAATAGAACATTTTTAATTCAAACCTAGCAGCAGTACAAAGTAAAAGTTTTATAAAGTCTATGAATTTAACCTCATAACAGAATTAAGAACAGGCATTCTAGCACACACAACATACATGCTCCATGTATATATATATATATATATATATATGATTATATAAAAGTTCTGCAAATTTTTAACATCCTCTAATTCACATATAAATATCTTCTATTTTAGACTATTGTTTCAAATCTCGTACATACATAAGATATTATTAATAAAGAATATATTACAAATCACCATTTAAACTGGTTTGGTCATAGTTATTTATACTTACGTCTCATACCTACGTAATTGTATCAATAGTTAATATAACAACACGTGTAATTGAAACAGGATTTAATTGACAATATTTTTTACACGCATTTCAATAAGTGTGACGATAAATCAATGAGGTATGGATTATAATGATCATATTATGACTGTGAAGAAAAGAATAGTGCATAATTATTTTTTTCATGACCCTATACAGATCTTAATATTGTCTTTCACATATTGCGTAAATGATTTGCAAATTTATTGTTCTTTTACAAATACGTAATATTAACAAAGGTGACAAGTTACCTTATATGAAATAGATCATCGGATCATATTTATACCCTCTAGTCTTTACAAAAGGATATAGATATGTTAGATATAAAATACCTACTATTTTTTACACACTTATTTGGTCATTTGAAATCGAATCACGTTGATATACTTACCAAACGTTTGCAACGACATACTGTATAGCAATCGTTTCTTGGTTTTCATACAAAAACCGATTGTAATGCTGTAATATGCGAGGATTTACTAATGAATTACTTTTAAAACTCCCTGTAAAGGATATAAGACCGTATGTAGCAACGGGTTCGGGTAATTTCGGTAAAGTTCGACAAAGTTCGGCATCGTCAAATCCTGTATAATTTTATTGAACATTTAATTTTAATAGCATATTATAATACTTAATGTACTTAAAACATCATATATCATCTAAATATTAATCGCATTCCTGCTCCAATTAAAACAATTAGTACAGTAAGTGTTAATATATAAATTGAAAAAAAAAATGCATTTATGATAATATTAGAAAAAATAAACTAATGCGTTTAACGGTAATTGTGGAACCAGTTATATAAATATTTATAATCATCACCTGATAACTCCATATACTATTTTATACATTACTCTTGTCCTCGGAATTACTTGATTGAAAATAATTGTAGATTATGATTTATGCTGTAACTAACAAGAAATATTCTATTATAACTTATGGAATATCTCATTGATCGCATTCAAAACTTTAATGCAACAAAAAACACATTTTTCTTTTATATTCTATGAGGTACCGTCATAAAAATGAAAATAGATAAAATAGATGTATCCAAATATATATTTCCAAATATAATTTTCAGAGTATAATTATTATTAATTTTAAAATAATATGAAATAAAAGATCGAGATTATTTATCATTGAGCAACACGAATCATTATTCTTGGTGTCCAACGGGTTTTTAGGGCAGGTATCGATAACAATGCAAGCATACATTATCGTATGTATACAGAATAACGATTAATACCGTCGCAATTGTTTTTATATAGACGATCCTTATCTTGTTTGAAATATTTAAAGTGTGTAATCATACCATTATACTATTCTTGAATAAACTGGTATGAGAACAAGCTATTTTCTTTAATTTTTTTAAAGCGAATAAGTATTGGACATGATTATAATGAATTTCAATCAAGTAAGTTACTTACTTGTTATTGTCAATGCAAAACTACAAATTGAAAATCAAATTACCTTCTGATTAAAGATCAAAAATACAGATTATGTAAGATCAAAACAAAGAAATACGTCACCTTCTAAAATTATATATTATATTTAAGCTGACAAAATACATGAATTTTGTAACTAGTTACCTAACTTATGAGGCGATCAATAAAATAAATTCGAAAATAGGCATTGAAATTCATCGATGAACATCTAATTGTTTGTCTCAGTTACAAGTTATAAAGAACCAAACATTCCGGTAACGAAAAGGAAAACTGGGTTTTTCATGACACTAGTAAACTTTAGAAAACTATTCTCTAACTAAACATAAAAAACAATTAAATTTAGTAAAGCAAGAACAATTAAATTTAGTAAAGCAACTACATATAAATTTATGATAAAAAGACGATTCATATTTTGTAACATAACTAGATATTATAAGTTTGTTTAATTTTAATTAACGTTATATTTTAACTTTCATAATTCTAGTTCATAAGGAATTCCACCTATTTTTTTAAGTTCAGCCTTTGAATTTCAAGTGTTCTATAGAGTCTAGCACACTCGAGATCGATACACTTGAGAGTCTATAGTATAGACGAAGCCTATACAAAATTAGAAGTTATTTTCGTTATATCAGAAAATTGATGTTTAAAATATTCAAGGTATTGCAAATCTGAGTGTGTGATATTATTTTTAGTTTTATATATCCATCCCTACTAATATTATAAATGCGAAAGTAACTCTGTCTGTCTGTCTGTCTGTTACGCTTTCACGCCTAAACCACTGAACTGATTTTAATGAAAGTTGGTACACAGATAGAGTTGACCTTGAGAAAGAACATAGAATAGTTTTTAACCCAGACTTAACCGAACTTGACGCGGGTGAAGTCGCGGGCGGAAAGCTAGTAAATTTATAATAAATAATTTTGACGTACCAACAGACAGACAGAAAAACGGAACGCCGAGTATTTTTCAAAGGTTCCTTTTGTGCTGATCGAGTAACGAAACCTCAAAAATACAATACAATACAAAAACCTAGTAATTTCCATGACCAAAAAAATATATTTATTTACTATATTAACATAAAAGAATTTAGGGGCCAAATGTATATTCGTCTATTAGTGTTAATAATTCTAAAAATATTCTTTTCATAACACCTATAAAGAGAAATTTCATTAGTATTACTTATATTAAGCCCAGAAACTAGTTTAAAGTATCTAAAATTATCTAAGCTTACACTTACTATCTATCGTTTGAAATCAAAATTGTATTTGTATTATAATGGTAATTATAAGGAAGGCTACATTATACCTAATAATATTATTTAATTAAATTTCGTAAGGTAGAGAGAGGAGCTTGGATGGTGGTAGTAAGAGTTTAACGCGCGTTAGATAGGGGCCCCTTAAACCTACACCTGGGTCGCAAGTCCCAGGCACTGTTGAAGATCCTCTCCCTGTAACGATGGACTCGGCCCCCGCACGGTGAATCTATAAAATGCTAAGAGTTTAGGTTTAGTTTTGATAATATATGATAACAGAATAAACATAACTATACGAAGAATAATTAAACGAGCAGAATTAATACTGTCCTATTACACAATATGCATCATGCACGTCAAAATGGTGGACGGACATAATAGAGGCTAAACTCTATTGTTCTCATTGTAAGGACTAATTCAATTGCCTAATGTTCATGACGTTCTCATATACGAGATGAATCTGTTACGTAATACTTTATAACTGTCAGATACGAATTATCTGCTAATGATTTTGTTACTTTGCTCATGATTGGTTAATTGTAAATGAAATAATGTTACCAATATGTCTAAATGAACTTCATGTATGGCTGGTGCGTATTATTTTTTTATAAACAACAAAAGTTATGCTTAAAAATAACGGCTTGATTCATGTTAAAGTATCTTTTTTCCTTCAATTGAATTTAATATTGATGTATATAATTTTCATGAAACTGTGTAATTAGAAAAAATAAATACTGAAATTAGAAATATAATTAATATTTAACAAAAAATCTGTAGACGTCATCATTCGAGCCTCTGTCTTTTTAGTAATGGAATTTTTTGATAGCTAGACTGAGTGTGGTTTATTGAAATTATTATATGATTAATAAAAGGTGTTCTTTTTTTATATATTTTTTTAATTAACATGAGTTTGAATTGACTCTATGTGTTATTTCAATCGACCGAACAGCAAACGTTTGGGGGCAATCGAGAGAAATTATAATTCCTACATTTACTGTTATACATAAAATACAACAGATATATGGTGTTTTTTAAAGAAATATTCCTCATCTCTCTCTTAATTAATCCAGATTTTATGGACAATAAACTGTAAACTGATTCACCAGTAGCCAATCTACCCACACCCTTAAAAGAGTTTGTTTTCCTCAAATGTTATGTTATTAATGTTAAATTAAATTTATATAGATTACAATAACATTATAATTCGAAAAGACGATTAAAAATAAATGAAAATGATATCAGCAAATTTTTTATATTTATTTATATTTTATACACTAAATTATATATATGCTTTCATTGATTTCGAATATAAAGTATAAAAAATTTATCAACTTTTTCCATATAACATGCATATCAATTACGTATAGCGCATACTATAATTAAAATCTATATTTATACAAGCAACAAGTGCAAATTCTATATACGTAGAATAATTTTCTCTCGTAATTTTCCTAAGAAACAAAAGTTAGTAATAGCGTCGCTCACGTGGTCGAACGACGCTCAATTCTAAATTTATATAAAAGGTATATCACGTGTTTTCTTATCACGCGATAGAAATGTCGCTAAATTTCAATCTGAGAAAACGAGACCGATTATGGAATCGATTAACAGTTATCGATCACATCTTAGAGGGCGTCAACAATAATTAATATTATGGTTGCACACTTCGTATGTTTGTTTTGCGTATATTCGAAGTCCGAACTTGTGTATTGTGTAACATTGTTAGCGCTATTAATAAGCTTTTCGATGCATAACACATGTGTACGTCACGATCTATTTAATAGTTGTTATGAATCCTAATTACATACTTGATATTTGCCCAAATTTTTTTAGGTATATGTTTTTATTAAACACCTATATGTTTTATTATGAAATATGTATAATGTTTACTTTGCAGACATACAATATCAGGCGCTCAGAACTTGTAACAATAGATACTTATAAATTGTTAATGTCAATGTACTTAAGCATACAAATCAAGAAATTATTCTGACTCTCAATTGGTATTATTTCAGTATGGTTTATTATTTAAATTACTAACAATGAAGTAATGACAAAACAATGGAATAAATCAAGTCGATGTACTCATGTTAAAGTGTGATGACTTGTAATACATATTAGGTTCTGTGTAAGTCACAACTCATAGTATGCTTCTTTAAAAATAACTTAATCCTAAGTAATTACATACATATGAAACTCTATTTCATACATTGCAATACTAGTTATTTCTAGATAACTATTCCCGTTTATGTATTCATGAAGAAAGCACATCTGCAATTTTATTGAGGACTGCATAACAACGTACAATTGCATATATTACGTTTCAAAATACATGGGAAGTTGCATCTTGAATGGAGTCAGATTTGCGCATGCGCGAAATTATTGTTATATAGACGACACCTGCCCCCTCGACGTCAGTTCAGGACACACTCTTGGGGAACAACCTTGTGTCTTCAAGACTAATCCGTACTAACACAACTCGTAAAAGTTTAGTTATTTCATTGAATTCTAAAATCTTACAAATCTTTTCAACATAAATATTATAAAGTTATTGTCGCTTATAAAAGTGCTTAATTAATCGGACCTATGAAAAACAGACTAGGAATTGAGTTTGTTGCTAGTGAGCGGTTCGCCGGCGAACTGGCTGTGGAAACGGTGGGGCCACAAACACCGAAAACGACACCACGAAGGGATTCAATGGCACCCAAAATTATAGTATGTCCGCCTGTGGAGGAAATTAATCAACCAATAACTCCGAAACGCGGTACGAGATTATTGAAAGCCATCAGCAAACGTTTATCTAGAAGATCAACTGACGGGGATTCCTTGGGCAGTTCGAGTAGTAACGACAGCATGTCTTGTGAAAATGGTCGCTTGGATGACCCGTCATCATGTTCAGCCAGTGACTCCAGCAGCGACGACTCCGAACGTCACCGCCGTCATCGCTCCACAGTTTCATTACGGAAAGTTTTCCAAAATTTGAACCTTAGTCGCTCCCAATCCTGCTCACCAACAGATCGCCAGAGGCAGCCGAAAAAACAATCCCAACCTAAACGCATACTGCGACCACCAGTCACTTACACATATGTTAGAGGTCTATCCGGCTTACCAACACAGAGAGTACCAAGATACCCGGTTTACTGCGCTTCTTCAGGCTTAAACCGATAAAAGCGTTATCCGTATTCATTCGGATGATATCGCGGAGTAATCAAGACTGGTTAAAACTAGGGAGTTAGAAGAATAAGAGAATGGTCAGTTACGTCATATCACTAGAAAAAAAGGAAATTCAGGACCCGATAAGAAAAAGCAACGTTGTCTTCATGAAGGACCAAATCCGAGGCGATGGTAGAAATATTTTAAATAAGCGTCTTTTAAGCTTAATTACCATTGCTAGTTGTTATCACTATTTAAGGAAATGTGAAGACTGTTCTGATGATACGATTGTACTGAAATGAAGTGTTTTTTCTACAAATTCCAATAATTTATTCCTAATATCCAATTGCACATAACTTGAGTAATGAAACTTTAACGTCTTAGAATGCGTATGAATGGAATAGTATGGTGACACCAATTTTCATCTATATATTATGTATTGTGCCTTCTCAAAAAATATCCATTTGTAACAACTATTTGCCTAAGATTTTATCTTGAAAGTATTAGAGTACAGTATTATTTTATCCTAACTAATGAACATAATACACGAATTTGTTACATGTCATTGTATAACTGACATCATTAAAATAAGTTAGTTTTGACTTGTGCACTCTTTATGTAATATTGTTATTGTTAAGATTAGTTATAAGTAGATCTTAATTGTTTTTATTGTATAAATTTTTGGAAAAAAATAATAAAATATTAAAAATTATAATATTATATTTGATTTTAACACATTCATCCCCTATCAACAGAAACGTAATAATTGAATAAAATTATATTAAAAGGAACAATATACAAAATTTTAAATATTAGACGTTGAGAGATTTATTTTGATTTTTAGAGAGACAGAGTGTATTAAGAACCACATTTCAAACAGTTAAATTTACTAACATTTTTATAAATATTTAAAAGCATAAAAGTGATATTCATTCAAGAAATATTCGTGGATTTCAACGCTAACTAATTTACTGTTAATAAAAAAATATAGTCACTGGATATCAGTTATAAAGAACACAAGCTTACCTACATGGAAAAATTATTACTTGAAAGACGACAATTGAAAACAATTGACACACGACATACGTAAACCTTTTATAAAATAAAAATAGCCAGTACACATCTCAGCAGATTATACTACTCCAACAATCAGTATAGTATCTGTTTTCTTCCTAGGAAAAACACCGAAGAAATTTTTATGTTTTACATTTCTCAATACATGTATTCATCTCAATAACGCCTACGCCAGCTGGCTTTGAAGCTCCACTGTATTTTATTTGAGCATGTCTGTAACACGTGATTGGCGGAAAATTGATTTCTATGTTTTTCTACGATAAGAAATTCATATCAAGTGTTAAGATTATGCTCGTATAGAGAATAATATAAAAAATATTAAACTTAAAGTGTAGTTAAGGGTAATAAAGTGAATATGAGGCAATGTTGATCTCCATGAGTAATGCTGTTACAATTTACGGGGATTAAGATATTAAATATGTATAGATGATGATGATTTTGATGATAATGATGAGTTATTATAAGAGAAATATATACACAACATTATAGTATAATAGATAGATAATAGTTTTTATAAACAATAATAATATGCTTTTATTCTAAAAATCGTTTGATACGTCATAAAAATTTCCTCCTGATATTTGAGGGCGAGGTGAATGACACGAAATGCAGATATAGCTTTCAGAAACTGAAGAACCAATTTGTATGTCATCTATTGTTAAAGATCTATTATAATACTCTCTATATTTCATACAAAAATAGTTATTTGTCTGTGTTTTTGTTTACGTCAAAAGATATATAAATATATATATTTGACTTAAATCTCTAAGATGTTATAGATTGAAGAATAAGGATGTTTCAATGAAATAACCCGAAATCTAATCATAACAAACATTTGATTGTTATCGGTATTCTGATACATTTAACCCAACACTATACAAATCTAAATTTAATGTATCCTTCAACAATAATAACCTAATTTTATCATACTACAATACGATATATCTGTAACATTATACAAATAAATTAAAGACTACATAATCATTATGTAACTCTTAGAAAGACGTGATTTATATATAAACCAATATCTAATTACTCTTTGTAAAAAATCGCAATTGTCATAAAAAAACATGGCTTCAAAATAGTTGACGAACATGTTAAGCAAACAATATTCTAATTAAAATGTTTATAACTGGTAAAATGTAAGACATTGTCACGTGTCGATATTTTCTAAATTCAATACGTGAAAGCAAAACAAATAAACACCAATTAAATTTAAACCAGGAAAATATTTCTTAGGAGTTCGTTTAACAGATTAATGAGAACTAATTGAACAATAGTGATTACGTCAAACAAACCAAATGTTTTCCTCTGAAAGGGAACAGATCGACTTAAAGCGACCTAGTAATCTAATAAACACAAGAATTGAAGTCAATAAATTTTAATTCTCTCTCATGTTTCAGTTAGGTGGTGCTCTAAAAACAGAAATAGATACGACGACTCACATTTATGTTACATGGACATTGTTTATTAAATACTACACAGTGATGTAACACCATTAATTTTCGATATGAAGGTATACTGATTCATGCTACTCATTCACAAACATTCACTAAATATGTCATCCATAATATAATATTTATTATAATAATTAATTGCAGATTTTATGCCTTATAAAGACCTCGGAGTATGAAGGACGTAGTCGGATTTATAAGCACACAGATACACAATGAACACAGCTGTACTTATTCTCCTTGGAGTGGAAGCGTCCATTGAAAACATAATATACAGTCGTCCTACATGTTTTGATTTCCCCTTGTGGTTGCCTCCAAGCCGAAACAACCAGCTGTTGGTAAGGTTGTACTGTTGCCTACGTCACTTGTATCCCATTTTGGGTTAGTAGGTCGCTAGAGGGGTTTGCAGTGAGCGGGGTTATGATTTTTAAGCTCCAGTGACGTCATCCTGAGAGCCTTGGACCCCTCTGCACCCTGAATGATGAATGAATAGGTCGATAGGTGGTAACTAACGCTAAGTAGGTCAGAGTGCAAATAATGCACCAAGCCGTAATACCAAGAAACAGTTTTTTAACACACATTTGACTAATTAATGCTTTTTATTACTAATATATACACATTAACTAAGGTCAGAAACTTAAAAATGTCCTTTTATAATAAAATTCAACTCGGTTTGTCTATGACAGTCTTTGTTATTGTCTATCATAAATTTATAATTACTCAAGAACCCATCCTTGTTTTTTTCGTTGATCACAAGGTTATTTTAAAGTCTTAATTTTGACTTACTTTTTTAAAATACCCATAAAAATTGATAAATATAAATACAACTGTTTGAACAGAATTTATGAATGAAAATGTAGATATATATATATATATATATGTATATAGATTTATAAGAAAGAGGGAGAGCGAGAGAATATTAATGGATATAAAAGGACAATTTTACCATAATATCATTTGTATCAAAATATTTATTATTAATACTTACTATTCCAATGGCAAACTATTTCAAGATATTTTTGCTTGGTTTCTAAAGAGACATCTTACTGCTATGATATGCTTAAATTATTTTAGATTATTAATTTATTACTTGTTTTATAAATGTATCATACTTAATTTTTTAGAAAATATATTATATCATTTAGAAAAAAATATTACCCAGAACAATAATTTAGCAAGAAGAATAATATAAATATTAATAAATATTATTGTAGAACCTGTTTGTGAGTAACATTAAAAAATTCACATTCAAGTATGTAAATACATGGGTGTATTTCTATAATTTTCGTATATATATATATATATATATATATATATATATATGTATTGAGATCTATTTGAAATGTGCCGACGAAGATGATGGAAGTCGGATTTAGAAATATAAGTATAGCTGACCAAGCGAACTCTATTTCGCGTTCGAGGCTTATTATAAATAAGCAGATTTTATATTTTATTAAGTTAATTTTGCCTTTTTACTTAACGAGATGAAAAGTATCTAATGTCTTCTGGTTCTAAGCTACCCCCTCACTAATTATCAGCCAAATTCGTAGGGCCGTTCTTAAATCATAAATTGTGGTTACAAAACTTCGTTCTATATTTATATATATTAAAAATGAGACTATTTAAATATAAAATATAACAAAGATTCTATTTATAAGTATTTGTTATATTTAACAAAGAATTTAAGTATCATTTTAACTACTTAAGTATATGTTTTTTTTTTTGTTGAAATTATTTTGACCTAAAATAGATCATAATCTTCTATCAAATATTAAATGGCTATTTACTACTGGATACATTCTTACTTCTATAAATAGTATTTGTGTTGTTTCGCTAACGTTTTAAGGTATTAAGAATCGAGATATTTATTTTGGGTAATATTGTATCATTTGGATATATTATAAAAAATAGAGAATTAGGTGATTTTGTACGTATGATGGAATCGTATTCAATGTTGAAAAAAATCATATATTTTTATTGCAGTTTATTGGTAGTAACCTATATTTTCTTTGAAAAGTTTTGCAATTCTGATATGATGAAAAGACATACTAAGCTTACTTTTTTACCCTCAGAAATAACGTCCTTGTAACTATTACGTTAAGGTCCAATATTGATATAGATTCTGTCAAATACATAGCACTTATTACAAAAATCTACGATCATTAATGTAAATATATAATAATAAGAAGTTATAATTTCCTGTGGATCCGAAAAAACACGTTGTATTTTTAGGAAATATGACGTCGTTCGTCTTATTTTTGTTTTAAAATTTGTCTACTGCACGAAATCTTTTTACAGCATTGTCGACTAGATCATTTTATGAAAGTTGAAAAACTCATTATAATCCGCTTATTATATTCGTTATATTGATTCTAGTTATATTAAATAATAATGAAACAATAATTAAAAAGCTTTTTAAAAGCCAGTCACGCTGCTAGTCGCCGTCACGTCAGGTGAAATTAAAACCATGGCTTCTCTATGACGCAC